ACGTTAACATCTCGAATACATTCAACGTATTGGCATAAAAATTATGGATAAACAACTGATAAATTGAACGAGTCAAAAATAAATTTACACTAATACTGTGCCAAGACTTGATTAATCCATGGCAGGTAAAAGCGAACGTAGGTGAAAACATCTGGGTATTGACTAGCACATCCGCCCTTTACGAAGGAAGCAATCCCTACGATTTCACCATTGCTGATAAGAGGACCGCCACTGTCACCCTAAAATCAAATAATAAAATGTGATGGAAACCCAATAGTAAATTTTGCATTTTGCCCATATGTCCCATTTTATCCAGATCTCCCCATCAATATCTACAAAAATTGAACCGTTTCTATTATTTGTATTAACTTCATTAAAAATAATACGTACGAAACAGATTCCACTTCCTGGATTATGAGTGGCGCAAAGTTGTCCTGGAAAGAGTTGATTGCCATGCATGTTCGCACATGCACTTTGGCTGATAGCAATCATCCTAAGTTGTTGCAAATATCTCGGCAAAGGACTCGCTGAATCTGCCGTTTTTCCCCATAGGGCTCCCCAACCACTAGCTGTGACAACGGCACCAGGGGAAGTGTCTCTTGTTGGCAGACGAATGGGTTTTTGAAAAGAGTTGAAGGGAATAGGACGAGCCAACTGTAAACTCAACAATCAATTAATCTCAATAATCCCACAGCTGAATTATAAGATAGTGGTACCCAAACAATTGATAAGACTTGATATAGTGCAGATGCTTGCCTTCACAATAGCAATATCATTCATCAACGTAAACGAATTATAATATGGGTGAGAGATGATCCTGGCCACTGAGAATGTATTGGCATCATTAGCAGCTTGATAATCGATGACACCTGTGACGATTCGAATATTTTCAGGATAAAGCATTCTTCCGTTTCTATCAAAAACACAATGGGAAGCTGTCAGAATGTGCATTGTGTCGATGATGCTGCCTCCACAGAAATGAGAACCTCTCTGCTGCATGGACACCTGATGAGGGAACTGTCCTAGCCAGGTGTTCCATCCATTGACTATTTTGCTCGGAGGCGCTGCGTGCCCTACTGACCAAAATCACGTACACGCAGAGACATATTTAGTAAAAATTACGGAAATTTAAGTTCGCTTACCGATTACGGAATTCACTCGAAAAATTTAAGTGAGGGTATCGTAATTTTTTACAGATAATTCGGAAAAAAATTACGGAACGCCGCAGAACAATTCGGGGACATCAGATAAAAATGACGTGACAGTTCCGTAAAATTTCCTACAACCACACTTTACTCCGAAATTATGGAAAAGACATGTCATTTTTATTGAATATTTCTCCCCGTGTCATATCGATTTACGTTCGTTCTATCTTATTTCTCTATTATTATCGCAATAAAAAACCTCAATATTTTGTAAGCTTACCGCAAGCAAAAGTAGCCAAGGATAATAGCAGCAATTGAACTTTCTGGGATACCATGATCGGCTCCAATGCGACTTGAAGTCTTCAGACCCAAAAAATATGATAGTCCGATCAGCCATCATCTAGTCTTATATAAACCTTGTTCCTATTTTCGTTTTTAACTTTCAATTGTGCATTAAACTCATCATTCACGATAACTCAAACGTTCCATTTTCTAGAAACGGACAATTGCACGTGTCGAATACAATTGGTCAACCGGGGCACAATTTATGGGGCAGTGAACCATTTTTTTCATTTTTTATTCATTCGAAGTTGAAGTTCAATCAATTAATTTATGAGATATGCTTTATCAACGCATCACATCAATCAACCCCATTCTTATTCATAAGGTTTAATTCACTCGATATTCTGTTTTTTTTTTCAGATACTCGAGATGTTAAGATCATGGCCCAATTTCAATTTATTTTCTGAATTAATATTGTATCAACCACTTTTTCAGTATTAAGCTGTCATTTTTCGCGATTGATGAAAACAAACATGATGTATTACTTATTTATTTATTTATTGTCTCCAATAGAATAAAATACAGGAAATAATTACTAGAAGCAAGATGTACACGTAAAACAATTAATAAGAGGAACATCTAAACAATATTTCAACAAAAAAATACATTTAACGTATTGGTACGTAAATGATGAATAAATAATAAATAAATTAAACGACTTAAAAATAAATTATCACTCATACTGTGCCAAGACTTTGTGAATCCACGCCAGGTAAAAGTGGACGTAGGTGAAAACATCTGGGTATTGACCAGCACAACCATCCTTTCCGGAGGAAGTAATTCCTATGATTTCACCATTGCTGATAAGAGGACTGCCACTGTCACCCTAAAATCAAAGAATAAAATGTGACGGAAACCCAATAGTAAATTTTGCCCTTTGCCCAGATGTCCCATTTTATCCGGGTCCCCCCTATCAATATCTACAAAAATTGAACCATTTCTATTATTTATATTAATTTCATAAAAGAGAATACATACGAAACAGGTTCCTGTTCCTGGAGTACGAGTGGCGCACAATTGTCCTGGAAATAATTCCTCTCCATGCTCTCTGGCACATTCACTTCGGCTGAGAGTCATCATCCCAATTTGTTGCAAATACCTCGATAAAGGACCCTTTCTGAATGATGTAATTCCCCATATAGCTCCCCAACCACTAGTTATAGCAGCGGTACCAGGGGAAGTGTCTTCTGTTGGCAGGCGAATGGATTTTTGAAAAGAGTTGAAGGGAATAGGACGAGCCAACTGTAAATTCAATAGTCAATTAATCTCAATAATCCCAAAGCTGAATGAGAAGATAGTGTTACCCAAACAATTGATAAGATTTGATATAGTGCAGATGGTTACCTTCACAATAGCAATATCATTCATCAACACCAACGAATTATAATGTGGGTGAGGGATGATCATGGCTACAGGGAATGTATTTTCGTAATTAGCAGCTCGATAATCGATGACACCTGTGACGATTCGAATACTTTCAGGACGAAGCATTCTGTCGTTTGCATCAAAAACACAATGGGCAGCTGTCAGAATGTACATTGCGTCGATGATGCTGCCTCCACAGAAATGAGAATTTCCCTGCTGAATGGACACCTGATGAGGGAACTGTCCTGGCAAGGCGTCCCATCCATTGACTATTTTGCTCGGAGGCGCTGCATCCCCTACTGACCACAATCACGTACACGCAGAGATATATTTATTAAAAATTACAAAAATTTCAGTGCGCTTACCGATTACGGAATTCACTCGAAAAATTTAAGCGAGGGTATCGTAATTTTTCACAGATAATTCGGAAAAAAATTACGGAACGCCGCAGAAGAATTCCAGGACTTTATATAAAAATCACGTGACAGTTCCGTAAAATTTCCTATAATCACATTTCACTCCGGAATTACGGAAAAGACATGTCATTTTTATTGAATATTTCTCTCCGTGTCATATCGAATTACGTTCGCTCTATTTCATTTCTCTATTATTATAGCAATAAAAAACCTCAGTATTTTGTAAGCTCACCGAAAGCAAAAGTAGCCAAGGATAATATCAGCGATTGAACTTTCTGGGATACCATGAGCGGCTCTGATTCGACTGGAAGTCTTCAGACCAAAACTTTATGATAGTCCCATCAGCCACTATCTAGCCTTATATACACCTTGGTGTTACTCATCATTCACGATAACTCTAATGATATTCCGCTCATTAAATTATTTGCTTTTCTCAGAAACTGACACTTGCTCGTGTCAAATACAATTGGAGATTCGGGGCATAATTTATCTGGCAGTGAAATTTTTTTCTCATCGTTTATTCATTCGTAATAGAAATTTAATTGATTAATTTATGACATGATTTATGACGTCATTACATCAATCACCCTCATTGCAACTCATAAAGTTCAATCCACTGAAATATTCTGTTTTTTCAGATACTAGAGACGTTAACATCTCGCGTAAGATTGGCCCTTTCCTGTGACGCCTCCAATGGATATGAAGACGTTTAAAGTTTAATAACAAATTTCTCCAAAAAGGCCTTCTCTTTCGAGACGCATGTGGGCTATCCATCAAACGTAATCTTCAGTTTGAATTTTATCTTATTAGACCGAAAAACCATTAATTTCATTCTATATCAGATAATGCCTCTAACATCTCAAAATATTTGGGAATTAGTGCTGTTCTCTCAATTCGTAACGTAAGAAATAGAAATTCATAAAGATTGAACTGATACTTTAAACGGACATTTGTCGACAATTACAATTTATTCGTTGAATAGATATTGCATGGAACACGTTTTCAGTATTAAGCTGTCAATTTTCGGGATTAATAAAAACAAACATGATGTATTACTTATTTCCTCATTTATTTTCTCAAATACCGGAAACAATAAATAGATGCAAAATGTACACGTAAGACAATTAATAACATAAACACCGAAACAACATTTGAGCATAAAAATATATTGAACGTATTGTCATAAAAATGATGAATTAGTCACTGATAAATTAAACGAGTGGAAAATCGATTGCGATTAATAAAGTGCCAAGACTTCCTGAATCCATGGCAGGTAAAGGTAAACGTGTGTGAATACATCTGGGTATTGACCAGCACAGACGTCCTTTCCGGTGGAAGTAATCCCTATGATTTCACCATTGCTGATAAGAGGACCGCCACTGTCACCCTAAAATCAGAGAATAAAATGTGACGGAAACCCAACAGTAAATTTTGCATTTTTATCCGGGTCTTCCTTATTAATATCTACAAAAATTGAACCATTTCTATTATTTATATTAACTTCATAAAAGAGAATACATACGTAACAGGTTCCTGTTCCTTGAGTACGAATGGTGCACAATTTTCCTGGAGATAGTTCCTCTTCAAGTAGTATGGCACATTCACTTCGGCTGAGAGTCATCATCCCAATGTGTTGCAAATAATTCGACAAAGGACCCTTTTTAGATGATGTAATTCCCCATGCAGTTCCCCAACCACTAGCTGTGGCAAGGGTAC